GTGATATGATTTAAGGAAAAGTTTGAAATTTTGAAATTATCTATTTATTAGTTATTATTGTTATTATTATTATTATTTGTCTTAACATTAACTGTATTCTCTAACTATTTTTTTTAATGATCTAAAATTAAGATCGACCCTCATTAACTTTTAAACAAGCCGCCTACACCTAAAATAATGCATTAAAAAAAAACCGACAGACTAGAAACATCCGTTCACTAACTTCATCACCAATCTCTTACTTAGTTCATTCTCTTATTGGAAATAAGCATAAAGTATAAACATTAAATAAAAACATATCACCCATGTGTTGCTATCAAAATCGATAGTACTTGCATCAATATCCACAAAACATTCGCTTAGGAAAATCCTTAATTTGTAGAAGCTTTAGTCAGAAAAAAAAAAAAAAAAACTCTTTTGCTCTCATGAGAAAAACAATTATCCCTTAACTTCATGCAAATTGATCATTTATATCACTATATAAAAGGTAACATGATGCACACATAATATATACTTATAAAATAGTATGGTATATTATATTCAAATGTAACAAAACATTAGGCTAAACCTATTTAGGCCAAATTCGTTATAAAATATATTATTGCACCTAATCAAGTTAAATGTCTCTTTTCATATGTTAATTTAGTCATCGAAAGGTTTTTTAAACACTAGAGAAAAACTTTATTCTACATGTAAATGCCACAGAACTCCAAGACAAAAACAAGTATATACCTTACTATAAGGCAAAGAAAAAAAAAAACAACAACATCTAACCATTTAAACAATTCATGTATCATGACCTCATCAGGAATATAATGCACAAACAATCATTTTACAATGTTTTAGATAAGCTTGCCTATAGGTACGTAGTGATGTAACAGCAACTGGCATTTGGATAAGTTGGATAAAATCTGAGAGTAAATTGACCAAATTTAAAATAGATAAGTAAAATTGAATAATTGCGACCAACATGTTGATAAATCGAGCAATGAATAAAAATCATCCGTGGAAACGGGTTCATCCGGTCGGGGAATAATTAAAGCAAATACTGGGCCAACAAGGTAAAGCATCTGTTTTCATCCATGACAATTAATTGACAATCAATACCGAAAGAAAAGTTGCTATCTTTTGCTTTCAACATTTCCACGCTAAGAAAAGTTTAACCCTTCTTCTTTTGTACTTGATGTTTTCATCGATAACAAATTGACCAAATTTAAAATAGATAAGTAATATTGAATAATTGCGACAAACATGTTGATAAATCGAGCAATGAATAAAAATCATCCACATATGGAAACGTGTTCATCCTGTCGGGGAAGGTAAAGCATCTTCTTTCATCCATGACAAATAATTGACAAGCACTACCGAAAGAAAAGTTGCTATATTTTGCTTTAAAAATTTCTACGCTAGAAAAAGTTTAACCCCTCTTCTTTTGGACTAGATCTTTTTATTTGGAATTCTAATTCCATCACGTTATTATGGTAGTGCTGATCTAGGATGGGTGACGTATGTGAATCAATTACATCTGAAAAAAGTTTGATAAATCGAGCAAAGAACAAAAACCATCCACATATGGAAATGGGTTCATCCGGTCGGGCAATAATTAATGCAAATGCTGGGCCAGCAAGGTGTGGAATCAGGCAAAGCATCTTTTTCATACATGACAACTAATTGACAAGCACAGCCAAAAGAAAAGTTGTTATCTTTTGCTTTAAAAATATCTAACCTTTCTTTTTTATGGTTTTTCTCTCAAATATCATAATTTTATATTAAAAATAAAATTAATTTTTTAGATGAAAAGAATAAGATTTAACTCATTTCAATAATTATGATTTTTAAATTTAAATTTTATATATTAATAAAAATATTTACTTAAAAATTAGTTTATTTACTGTTAGGTCAATAATCTATGGGCTAGGAACCCCCTTCTTTTGTACTAGATTTTTTATTTAGAATTCTAGTTCCATCACTTTCCTAAGATAGTGCTGATCAAAGACAGGTGACGTGTCTGATTAATTAGCTTTTGTATTAATGATTGAGTCTATATAATAGTACTATTTTATCTGAAAAATTAAAGCTTGTTGCTTTGGCCTGTGCTTTATGACTTCGCTAGTTTATTGCCACTTTTCGCTTCCAATATTACTATTTTAGCTTCTTCTTTTTTTGGCCTTTTTGAGGCATTTGTAGTCTCCTTTTGGACTTGTTTCTTAGTTCTTAATGATATTTTTTTCTCCTCTCATTTAACAAAGAAAGAAGAACAGTTTTATACCAACCAATTAATAACATACAATTCATATACATAACAACAATTCAAAAGTCGAAATTGTTACTAATTTTAAGCAACAATTTGAGCCAGCTTAGACTCCTTTTTTTAGATTCGTTAACAGGCTTGTAGACATGCTTATTTTAAGATTCATGAATATTCGTCATGAGATAACAATTTAAAAATATCAGATTTAAAAAAAAAAACAAAAAACAAAAAAGAAGTTTCAGATAAGATATCATAAATAAACTAATTTTACAAATTACTAATTTTAAATCTTTTATTTTCAAATTATTATCTCCTATCAATTATTAGATATGAATAGATGAAAGTTTAAATTAAGCTCATTCATGGATTAATTAATCAATTTAAGCAAGTTAACTTGCAACACTCCTAACCTAATACATAAATAAATTGAGAGTATCACTAGTTGATATAAGTGCTTTTAATATGTCTTTAAGTGTGTTTTTATTATAATAATTGTGTCTAGGAGTTACTTTATGTTTTAATGATCATTAGAATGTTTAATTTTAGTTTTAAATGTTAAAGAAGTGAGTTGTGTCATTACTCTCTGTTTTTATGGTAATTATTACAGGTTAAGGATATTTTGATCACGAAAAGTATACTAGTCGCATAATGCACGACCATACAATATTACACGATTGCAACAAGAGCAGTTAGAATTGATGAATGCATGATTGCGTAACCTTGCACGATCGTAATCATAACATTATGATATTACAACCAAGAGTCATTTTTTTAGGCTATTGGAAGAATATAAAAGAACATAAGACTAAAAAGGAGAATACACGGTTTTTGGAAGAAAAAAAGGATTAAAGAAAAAAATAATAAGAGAAGAAGAAAGGGAGTCCAAGAACCATATATTAAATAATAAATTAATTATTCATACAACATATTTATACTTAGATAGATTTTTAAATCGATGATGTTACATAACTTTCAGATGAGCCTAAACCAAAGCTAAGGCTAAAAAAATGTAAAAGAGTTTTTTTTAAGTTTCAAGCCTTATGCAAGCCATCAACACAAGTAATTTAATCAAAGAACTATCTTAATTAAAAAATTTAAATTCTTCAGCGAGTCATAAAAATTTAAATTCTAAGTTATACTTGTTTCTACATCTGCTGCTCCGCACAGAGTAGGTTCTTTGTTTGCTCTGAGCTGATGTGACTTTTCTGTCAAAAGCTCGAGCAAATTTTAAAGGATACTCTTTTCTTTCTACAGCTGTTGCTCTGTATAGAGCTGGTTCTCTGTCTGCTTCAATTTCTTGGACTCTGTGCTTTTTCAACTTATTTGAAGAGAGAGGTACCTGAGATTGTTATCATCATATTTTCATTAACTCAAGATTATTGAGTTGTATGAAAGTCGTAAGCAAATAAAAAATATTTTTCGTAATGTTACTTTTACTAAAAATCAATTATATAAATTCTTCATTAAGTCATAAAAATGAATCAATCTTATTTGTAATATCTCAGATGACAACTATCAAATAAATGAATTTTTACGAAGGCATGCAATGAAAGCAATAAAAACAAAACAAATCTGAAGATTAGTTTATGTATATGTGTGTGTTAAATACATGGATAATTATATGCTTCACAGCTCTTATAATTCAAACACGATTGCACTTACAATTATATCATTCAATTTGCAGGGATCTTTCAGAGAACAAATTGAGTGGATCCATACAGACAGCATAGGTGAACGTAAGAAATTAGATTACATGTAAGTCGTTCTCATGACAGCATGGTGATTATATAACTGATTCCTATGTAAAGTTGGTCCGTGCAGCTTAATTTAGACATGCTGCATACATATACGTTAATCACGCGCGACTTGTACTCTATTTCTTCATTATTTTGGACGAAGAAAGGAGAAGAATTAATTAATAACTAATTTTTACCCTTTTTTTTTTTGGACCATCAAATTTAATCAATCAAATCATTGTTAAAATTCTAAAATTTAGAACAAATCTTGAAAATACCATTAAACTATATAAGTAGTATCCATATTATTAGCAAATAATTTGAGAATCAATTATACACACAAACTTTCAAATTCTCAATTAAAGATTTTTGTTCATTTTAAAAGGTTTTTGCCCATATTTTCATCCAATTGGTACTCTATTTTTGTAAAAAATGACATCTTTTTGTAAAAAAATTAATATTTATTTTAAGTTATTCTAACATAAATTCTTAATTTAGAAATCAAAATAATTTAATAGTAATATTGATAAAAAAAAAGTTTGGAAGCAAAGTTGATACTAACCCAATAGTTTGGTGGTATATTTGATCTAAAAAATCAATCCTATTTTTATTTTATTTTTTAAAATTATAGGGCAATATTGAGAAAGCCTAAAACTAGGGGCAAAAGAGGAGTAATGATGAACATGGTAAAAATACAGTATGATCCATACATATACGTTAATCACGACTTGAGAAGCAAATTATAAATTATCCCCTTTAGTTCTCACAAACAAACTAATTACTTTTCTCTATTTTGAGAAACTAATTATTTTTTTTGTTTATTTTATATATTTTCTTTTAATATATATTTTTTTTAAAAAGGAAATCCATATTATAAAAAAAATTAATGTTAAAAGAAAATATTTTTTAAAATAAAATAATATTAAATTAAAGATAACTAACGCTAATTAATGAAATAGCAACATAAGAGCCTTCCAGCTTTGATGAATAAGGGAGACTAGGCGCGGTAATAGATGGCACCACCACCAGACCACAAGATGGGCCAGCTTGCTTTAGACAAAAAGAGATTCTCTTGTGAGGGCGATAAGGAGACCAATACGGTAAGGTCCATATAGTATCCATTGAGTTTAAACAACCTACATATTTTATAGATTTAATGACAAAAATTATCATAAATTATTAGATTATAGCAATTTAAGATTGATGTTATCAATTTGGGTTATTAAAATTCTAAATTATTATTTTTTTAACAAATATTATTATTATTTATTTATTTTCAATGGTCAAAATGTTGGTTTAATGACAAAATTCACCTCCCAACAGTTTGGAGATGTGGCAAAATAATATCTATGATATCAATTTAGATTATTTAAATCAAGATGGGCCAACGTGATTTTTGTGGACTAGCTTGCTTTAGATAAAAAGAGATTCTCTTGTCGTGAGAGCTATAAGGACACCAATAAGGTAAGGTCCATATAGTATCCATAGAGCTTGGACAACCTTTATATTTTATGGATTTAATGACAAAAAATTATCTTAAATTATTACATTGTAGGAATTTAATATTCATATTATCAATTTGAGTTATTTAAATTTCAAACTATTTTTTTGAGAAACTATAACTCCTTTTCTTTTATTTCTAATAATTAAAATGTTAGTTTAACGGCAAAATTCACCTCCAAACTACTAGAGAAGTAGCAAAATATTATCTATACTATCAATTTAGATTATTTAACTCCCAAATTATTAATTTTTTGGTAAATTTTGCATTCTTTGTTGTTTCTAACAATGAAACTATTGACCATAATTAACTAAGTTTAACGACAAATTTCACCTCCAAACTACTAGAGATGTAGCAAAATAATATCTACACTATCAATTTAGATTATTTAACTCCCAAACTATTAATTTTTTGGTAAATTTTGCATTCTTTGTTGTTTCGACAATGAAACTATTGACCATAATTAACTAAAATGCTTAAAACGACATTGTTTTAAGCATTCCAAACTTTTTTAGAATTAAAATTAATTTATAAAAAAATAATTAGAACTTATTTTTTTTTAATTAGATAGATCCATTGTACATCATTAATTATCTAAAAATAAAAGTAATATCTATAAAGAAAAACAATCATCTATGCTAAGCTAATTATTATTAAATATTCTTTCAAAATTAATTGAACTTTTAAAATAAATTAATAGTATTTTTTTTATAGACTAGATGGATCAATTACACATCATTAGTTATCCAACAAAAAAAAATCAAATCCATAAACAATAAAATCATCTAAAGTTCCTTAAAGCGAACTATTATTAAAAAAAATAAAATTAATTTTAATTCTAACAAAAAAAGAGCAGAATTGTCAATATTTTACTTAAATATAAATTATATTTAAACTATATCATTTATTCAAATTCAATATAAATTATATTTTATAATTTATATTTTACTTAAATATAAATTATATTTTAAAATTTCTAGTTCAAATAATTTTTTAACATTACTCTATGCGAAGCATTTTGGTTACTATCCAAAAGAAGTCTTTCTCTTTAGTCCTTAATAGTTTTTTTACCCGCATTACGCTACAGATTGGATAAAATATATAAAATTATTTAGAGAAATCATTTTAACTTGATAATCTGTTTTATGATGTGAATCCATAAAAATATATGAAATCAAAGGTGAAAAAATAATTTTAATAAAAATTTTTATATTTAACTATTTCTTATTTGTGTTTTTCATAATTTTTCTTGTAGAAAAAGCATTTATCCTTGTTAATCTATGGATTATTAAGTAAAAAAAATTAAATAGTTTTTTTTTAAAATGCTTTAGTATTTCATAAGATTATTTCAAAAAACATTAATAACAATTATTAAAAACTTACATAGAATTAAAAAATAAATTTTTTATTTAATGTTGATGAGAATATTAGTTTTTGAAAAAAAAATGAATTTAATTTTTATATATTTATTTACAAAATAATGTATAATATTAAAATAAAAAACTATATTAATTTGATTTTTAACAATTAATTAATTAATTTGAGTTTTTTTCTAAAAAAATTGAGAAAAAATTATTTGAAATACACTTTTAATCTAATGATGTATTTTAGATGAATTATATATATTAATCATTTCATTATAATTTACAAGTTATCTAAATCTATTTAAAAAGAAAAAATAATCATGTTCTAAAAATTTATTTCAAAATTCATACATATAGAAAAATCTATCAAAATTGTCACTAAATATAATTTTAAATTAATTGGATAAGAATTTTTTAAAAATAACAAATTAAAGTAGTAAATTTTAAATAATAAAAATAATTAACAAAAATCACTAGAACAAAATGGGACCAAATCACAATATAATTAAATTTTGAAATTGAAAAAAGAAAGAAAATTTTTTAAAAATGGCCAATTAAGTAGAAATTTTAAATAATAAAAATAATTAACAAAAAATACTAAAACAAAATGGGATTAAATCACAATATAATTAAAGTTTGAAATTAAAAAAAATATAAAAAAATTAAGAATTAAAGTATTACAAAAATATCATGAATAGTGAAAAAAATAGTAATTTATAAATGTATAAATAGTAATTTATAAATATATAAATAATATTTTAAACAATAAATGAATAATAAAACTATATTTTTCAATAGTTTTATTAATAATCCAATAGCTTATCAGTCCCAAGTTCCCCACCTTGACGTACTGGGATGATTTCATGCCTTCGATCATTACTTATGGGATACGAAAAGAGCAAAGCATTGATTAGATTGCCAGTTGTTGAGCATATATGAAGGTGCCTTGTCTCTTTTATTTATTTACAGAGTACAGACGCACGCCCTCACCAAGAAAACCACAGTAGAGGTACAGTTATGTCCAAACTAATGGGTTCTGAATGGTCAGGCACACTCATTACTAGACTTCTTCTCCTTACCTTTCTTCTTCTCTGGCAACTTGGCAATGGGGCTACTTCCCAAAATGGCACTAAAGCTGCTGCTGATAATAGGGGTAATACCACTGCGCCTGTTGAAGGTACAAATTAATTGATCTCTTATTCTTTCAAAGATGCTTGAATGTATGTTTAGTTGTGTGTCTAGAATTGAATCCAACCAAACTTTAATTACTAATTGATGTAGGATAGAGTTAAAGCATGGAGATAGAAGATTAAAAACCTTCTCAGAAATAAATTCATTGAGGAAAAAAATCTAAAATTAGAGAGTAGTATAAATTTATAACGTGTCATCTCATTTAATAGTATAAATTTTTATGTTGAATTAATGGTATCTTCAACACTCGTATCTAAGTGTTAGAGACTAATATAAATTATATTTTGATGTCTTACTTATAAACTTAAGCTTTTAAGTGAGATAGTCCTTTAATATAGTATCGTAGTTTAGTTGACCAAGATGTTCTAAGTTCAAGTCTCACCATCCTCAATGTGAGCCTATGCAAGTTTTAAGTCTAAATGTTAGGGTTTTCACTTGACGAGGTGTGTTAGAGACTAATATAAATTATATTTTGAGATATCACCTATAAATTTAAGTTTTTAGATGAGATGATCCTTTAATACTAAGATTCTTTGGCTAAGTAATAAAGAATTTCAAACACCAAAAGTTTAAGTTTAGCTCGAAAGATCTACTAGAAAATAGTATAAAATAATATTCTATAATCTCAACTTACATGAACTAATTTTGGATTGAAATAATTCTCTTGAACCATTCAATACATCACTATTAACTTTAATTTAGTTAAATTTCTTGGATAAATAATAAATTACATTTGAGGTCTTTGAAGTTTCCAGTCCTGGTCATTTTAATGTATCCAATGTATTTATATTGTAAAGTTGACAGATTAATAATTTTTATACAGAACATAGTGGGATTTAATCAAAAGAACTTTTGTGTTGAAACCTTTGGCAGCGGATGCTTTGCAAGACCTCCTCAGCAGTTTACGTGCCAATGCGACAAATCTGGTCTCCTTCAATTTGAATTGTTCAAAAGCCGAGGACGCGGAGATCAAGTGTATTTCTTGTGATGATAACAGCAATGAAGCCTGTTCCGTCACTCAAATGTATGCTCAAAACTCGATTTTGTCATTAACAAAACAAAAAATAACATAAAATATATATAAATAAACCTGAAGCAAGTTTGCGTGAAATTACCTGTTGAAAAATAATTCTCTCTATGTAAATGACTTTGATTTCTGTGACAGAAACTTCGGAAGCAAACTATTGGATGGATACATTCCCTTTCTTTCAGCCAGTTCTTTTAACAACTTGAAATTACTGTAAGTATCATCTCTACTTCTCATTGCATAAAGTTCCATATATACTACTGTATCCTTTGCTGTGCGTGTTGAGCTAGACACCTACAGTGGTCACCATTGATGAAATTGGGGTTCGATTATATTGCCACAACAGTGATCTATCTGACAATCAGCTTTCTGGTGGGATTCCTGACTGGCTGGGAGATTTACAGAGTCTCCAAATATTGTATGTTAAAGAAACGATTCGTGTTTCTATATAAATGATGGCATAGGCTCTGCTTATTTCTAATGGTGCAATGGCTCTGTGTAAAAATCAGGATCCTCTCAAACAATATGCTGACCGGGACCATACCGAGCCTGGCAAATTTGTATCGCCTGAAAGAGCTGTAAGTCTGGCATCCTTTTCTTTTCACCAAAAAAAAAAAAAAAACACCAGCTTCTCTAATGGTTTAATTTGTGCAAAACTCAGGGATCTTTCGAGCAATATGTTGACCGGTTCTATACCTGCTAGCCTGACAACATTGCGTAGGCTGGAATATCTGTTAGTCCGTCTTAAAAAACTCTGCTTGTTCTTTATTGTATTCTATTGTGTTCTCATTTTTTTTAGCATAATATATTTTTCAAATTACATACATTAACTTGATAAATTATAAACTAATAAATTGTTAGATTGAGAATTTTCAAGATGTGATTTATGAGAACCAAATATTTTTAAATTATCAAACTTCAATCATTAGGTATGAGCTGCTTCGTGTCCTATAGAACTTGATCATTTGAGTTTAAGAACAAATTGAAAAGCTTATTTTAAATTCTTTCGACTAAAATAAAGTTTAAATTAAATTTAAAATTAATTCGATTTGTGTGACAGATTTTAGTCTCTTAATAATTACTATACAATTTATTTTATTTTTTCAATTTATATTTAATTAAAACGAATTTTAAATACAATATAAACTTAATTCAATCTATTTACTAGATTTTAATATTTTAATACTTAATACTATATTGTAATTTTTGAATAATTAACATAAATTTAATGAATATGTTCAACAAAAAAAATGATAACCTAAATAATTTCATAAGCTGTAATAATTTTAGAAGAAATTTTTGTTAATAACATAATATTTTTTTGGAAATATGGGCCTTTACGATAGGCCCACATATTTGGGCCTTTACGATAGGCCCACATATTTGGGCCAGGCAGCCATGCAAGACCTTCTCTTTGCGCCCTTTCTCCCCCTCCCTGTCTGTCTCTCTTCCTGCGTACGTGTACCATTTAGTAAAATATACATATTTCTGGATCATATTGTCGTTAATGGAGAAGTTAAAAAAGTTATAATTTTATAAGCTGTATTATAAAGAAAAGAAGTGATTATGCAGAATTCTTGAAGCTAGTAAAAACAGAGTCCACGAAAGGAATATATTTTTATTTAATTACCTTAAAAAATGCCCTTGCTACTTCAAATTATGCTAGTTATTTTCTAACAATATGATCTAAAAAGTTTTATTTGACTGTTTTATTACTAATATTCATTGAAGTAAATAACTGAAATTAACTGAAAGTTTTTATCTTCTGGGACGTGGGGTAATTTCACCTGAACAGCTATCTTGAAGAGAACAATCTTAGTGGTGCTATCCCTCGCAACCTGACGGGTTTACAATCGCTCATGTATTTGTAAGTCAATCCTTTGTATTCTATCTACGGTTTAGCATCTTTAATCTTGGCTATATATCTATTCGGATCTATGTGTCGAAAATCAGGCGTCTTTCAAGCAACAAATTGAGTGGGACTATACCAGACAGCATAGGTGATTGTAAAGCATTGGTGCAGATGTAAGTCTCTCTCCTTACAGCATGCTGATTAAAACTTCTTAGCCCGATGTAACTTAAAGTTTGTGCAATGCTAACAATTTTGCTTTCTATATAAATATCTTCTTTTTTAGTACAATCATGTATCATATATTATAATTCTAAATCCAATATCCGTGAATCGTCCTGTCACAGCCGTCTTCGGTTCAACGTCCTGAATGGTACTATACCTAAAAGTTTGGGCAGAATTTCTTCACTAGAATATCTGTAAGACACTTCACTACCATTTATTAAGTTACATCATTAAATGGATAATTATATGCTTCTTGATTGCACTTACACATTATATCATTCAATTTGCAGAGATCTTTTTAGTAATTCGTTGTCAGGCCATATTCCTCCCGAACTAGGAAAACTGTCTTCACTCTCCTTTCTGTATGAAAAATACACTCACCACTTCTTTTATTTTTCCTTTCAAGTGTACTACAAAATATCTACTTATTGGTATTTTTGCCTTTGAATAAAGGAATCTGGATGACAATAATCTTGAGGGAAACCTTCCAACGGAGCTTGGGAATTTGGTCAGTCTAACGGACCTGTAAGTTTCTTTCTTTTTTATTTTTAATTACCGAAAAATAGAAAGGTTATTCATCTTTACAAGTCCACTTAAGGAAGGATTGCTTTGTAGTAGTGAGCAGTTGTTGCATATTTGGCTTCTACCTAACACCCTTAATTTATTACAGCTACTTGACATCAAACAAGTTCAATGGAGATATTCCCGAAACATATGCCAAGCTTAGACATGTAGAAAACTTGTAAATTTCTTCCTTAATATTATTTTTCATCTAGCAATTTAATGTCTTTAATTCTATGGTGTCTCATCATTAAAACAAGCTTTTGGGTCAATGCAGTGTAGTTGGTGGAAACAATTTGACTGGTCCGATACCTCATTATTTTGCTAACTGGGTCAACCTCACCAAACTGTAAGTCTTCTTTGATATAAATTCTTATATTTATGAAGCTAAGCAATTCGATTTAGCTGACCGTATTATTGTGTACTTGTCAGGACTCTTATAGGAAATAATTTTAACGGAAGTCTGTCAGCAAAAACTTTTGCTCTCCCAAAATTAGTGAAACTGTATGTGCAGTCCTATAACGCCTGCATTTTATTTTATTTTCATTCGGAGATAAATATGGTTTTTTCTTATTAAAGAATTCTACAAGGTTGTTCAATGATTCCAGGTTGGTCAGTGACGTGAGCAATCCTGGAATATCTTTCCCACCAGGAGATCAAGTAATATCGAAAAGTTTGGTTTATGTGTGAGTGATTTTATGGTGCTCCTGGTTATCATTCATAGGAGTTGTAGTTTGACCTGGGCAACTATTATCACTTCTCTTACCCCATGGCAACAGTCTGCCGCTAAAGGCTAGAGGGCTACTAATTCTTTTTATGTACCTCAAGGACTATTGATCATCCAATATATATATCAACAACTATGGATTCCCTTACTTCAATTGTTTCTACAGGGTTCTGAGGAATTGCAAAATTAATGGTTCAATACCCACATACCTTGGCAACTGGCCTCAGTTAAAATATCTGTACGTTTACCGTTTTTTGAATACCGAGTAATTGTTCCATAATTAGATGCTTTGACTTTCTATTTTTCAATTTAATGTTAGATCAGTCTACAGGAAAATGATTAAACTCCTCAGTATTATGGCTCCACACTTATACGTAGCTCTTACTCATTCTTTCTTTTCCTTCAGCTGACACTTTGCTATTCCCAATTAAATCTCTGTGACTACTATTGAACCAAGATTTGATGTATTTTGCTTTGTCTTGTAGTGACCTGAGCTTCAACAACTTAAATGGTAGCATTCCGGAATCGTTGAAGAAACTGAATATGTTGTATGTGTTTTAAGTTGTTTCTTTAAAACATCAGACGTATTATTATTTATTTTTTTAATGATTAACCATTGTTGCTGATGGGTTGGTGTTTCCTGCTTAGATTTCTAACAAGCAACTCGTTTACGAAGCTTCCTTCCTGGATCGAAAAGCCAAATGGATTTTCCTATCCAAAAACGTAAGACAGTAGATTAACATCCACTACTGCATGCATGCAATTGTCTACATAATTTCTTTAGCATAGCTTATTGTTATCAAATTTGGCTTACTCTTGAATATTTGAAGTATGCTTCAATAGTGTAAAAATTATGCATTTCTTTTGATTTCATTCATTTATAACCTTCATTTTATCAATACATCGATTTTCATCAAAAACAAAGCGTGACATGACATGAACAAATAAAAATAGTGTTGGGAGATTCTCTGACCTCAGCCTTTCATTTTATCAATACATTTCGATTTTTATATACATTTATTGGCAAAATGATTACATGCAAATTAATAGTCTTGCTCCTCACCAATTTATAAATACTCAACCTTTCGATGTTTGATTTTGAGCAATTTTTATGTGATTTATTAATTTTTGGATTTGAATTTCTATAGTATTGGTCTTTTTTTTAGCTTGTTTTAAAGCATTCTTAGATTTTACAGTTTTCTTAATCAAAATAAAATATCAATAAGATACTATATAAGTTATGAGTTATTTAATAATTAAGCTTATTTATTTATGGATTTAAGAGTATTATGAGAGATATATGAGGAAAAAAAACATATAATTCAAAAAACATGATTAATACAATTTTTAGGAATTAACAATTTTTTTTCTAGAATTTAATATACATATCAATTAGAGGAGGGATATAATTGCATGGAATTAACAAAGCTTCATTTTTTTTTATGAATTTTGATCTTTCAGAGATCTTTCGTACAATAACTTCAATGAGAAATGTGAAAATATAACATGCTTGGGACTGGAAGATGTAAACATGTAAGGGGACAGATCAAACTCCTATCCATTTGACATTAATTCTGTTACAATTTTATTGATTTTCGTAAATCACTTATTATAGTTTCTTACTGAATTTTTTTTTCTCATGATATTGGTGCTGTTCCAGTCACCCGACTAGGTATGTAGTATCCTTATAATTTTCTGCAATAAGAGTAATCCTGAATTATTTCTAACATATTTTTGTGTTAATTTCTCAGATCTTACATAGCTAAAATGCAGAACAAAACATGTCAGCGGAAGCGTATGTTCTTTCTTTTGAATGCTAAATGAATTTGTCTAGCATATACTGAATATGAAATTGGGATTCCTATTCCAACTTTATTTTTTGACACTGATAAAACGCTGGAGTTAACATTACTTTATAGTTAATAATAGTCAGCAGAATAAGAAAGTCGTATTATCATGATAAGAACTAGATTGATCACCAACATCAAAGTTAAAGGTGCTATTCTGGTTTTCTCTTGCAGAATGCATTTTTAAAGCTCAAACTCTCTAACGAGATATTGGTAGAGTTGGTTATGGGGAACAATCATATTTCCAATAAAATGAGTTTTCTTGCAGATAATTCCTTGTTTATAAATAGTGGTGGTCAGGACGTAACCATAGGAAAGCAACATTATCATAACGATACCTCAACAACAAGTTTTAACCTAAGTCCATCTGAAGATTGGGCTTATAGCTTTTCTGGAGACTACTTCTGGGCAACAATCAATGAAAGTACTTTAGTAAGAAACTCGACATGTGAAGTTTCTAATGCTCAGGGAGACTTAGATAACAATTTTCGCCTTGCTCCTGTCTCTCTAATCTATTATGGGCGCTGCTTGCGTAAAGGCAAGTACAACGTCCAACTCCGTTTTGCTGAAACATTATATTCAAAAGGAGAAGATAACAGCAGAGTAGGGAAACGCGTGTTTGATGTACATATTCAGGTAAGTATTTCACTTTTCATAATGTCAATTTATGTACTAATGTCACATTCTTAAGGAATTCTTGATTGCAGAACAAACTCGTGTACAAAGATCTCAACATAAAGGAACTCCCTGGAAAAGAAAATGAAGGACGAAAGCTAAGCTTCCAAACAAAAATACATAATGGTTCGTTGGAGATCCAGTTCCTCTGGGCTGGCAAAGGATCTTTGTACAATCCGCCAGCTATCAATGGACCTCTCATATCAGCTATTTCAGTCACCAAAGGTAGGAAGCAACACTTTCCCTTTTCTGAGAAACACAGAATTCTTTTACTTGAGAATAATTTATTGCTTGCTGTTTACAAGCTGTTGTTTTCTGCTTACAAAGTTCCCAGAAAACTACGTCCTTGGGAAATCGCGGTAATTACAGTAAGCTGTATTTTGTTTCTGCTGCTGCTGTTGGCCTTTATGTGGAGAATGGGCTGGATAGGAGACAGAGAATTACGCGGTAAGCACTAAGCAAAGAAAATCTATGAACATAGAGTTTGCTATCTGTCGGAATAATTCTTTAAATAATTAAATTAAGTCCTCTGTTATTGGAATAGAAACAAAAGTGAAGCTCGGAGAAAGAACTTTCACGCTTAAGCAGATCATTGATGCAACTAAAAAATTTAGCCCCACGAGGAAGCTTGGTGACGGACGCTCTGGGATAGTATACAAGGTTAAACTCTTTTCTTGTTCATTAATTTTTGTCTTTGAAGCATGTTCTTTTATTTTTCTTCATTTTTACTTGCCATGAATGCAGGCTGAACTGCCAGATCTGATTGTAGCAGTGAAGAAGCTTGACCCAAAATCTAAAGCAGTCGATGAAATAAGAAGCGAAGTTTATGCAAAGAAGGTTTTGGACTTGAAACATGATAACCTTGTCAAATTGCTTGCTCCTTATTCCAGAAGGGACCTACATTTGCTAATCTACGAATTTATGGAACTTGGCTCACTTGGAAAAGTTTTATTTGGTAATTTCCTTCATCTCATTCCAATCTGGCATTTGCAAATTGGGCTATCTATGTTGCTTCTATTAGTGTTGCTAGGATTAATTTGATATGTTTCATTTTATTATAAAATATTACAAAATCATACCCCGAGTTTCATTGTTTAACTTAACAACGTAAAGGTTTTGAATTGAAATATCTTTTTTAAAATGATATGATCATAATTTCTTTTTTCATATAGATTTTACTTGAGGAGAATTAAAATGGATTGATTATAGGTGAGGTCAGAGACCCATACTATCTTGTACTTAATTAATTAAAAGAGAAAATGAGGTTGTAAGATTCGAAATCTTGACCGTTAGGTTAGAAAGGATCCTCTGTTATGTCAAAGAACCATCTCATTAAAAAACTTAAGTTTTTAGATGAAACTTCATGATATAATCTATATTATTCATATTAAATGTTTTGGTTGAATTTGATTTTATCCAAACAACTTAAACCAAATAGTGATTCATTTTCAATTTTTTTTTCCTACTAGAACATAAGAGGATATTGAATATTGACTTGGGGATTTGCAGATCCAAATGTGCAACTTGATTGGCCAAAAAGATTTACTATCTGCTTGGGGATAGCGAAGGGTTTGCAGTATCTACATGGAAGGAATCCACAAATAATTCACAGAAACATGAAAGCCAATAATATTCTGCTTAATGCAAATTATGATGCCAAAATAACAGATTTTGGATTGGCGAAGCTTTACGAGGAGGAAAGTTCATATCATATCATGCAAGCTGGACGAGACGCGTAAGTAACACAGCTCATCTTTAAATTTCCACGTATTTTCTTATCAGTTCGATTCCAAAAAGACTCCAAGCACAATAAAATATAATTTTGCGTTGCTATACCTGGCTGATATGGATATAAACAAATTTGATTAATAGGCATAAATACAAGACTGTTCGGAGAAATTTGTGTTTCTTACTTAATCTATGGTTTCCATTGTTGCAGTTCATACATGGCTCCAGAATATGCAACCAGAGGAGCCATCACTGTTAAAGTTGATGTCTACAGTTTCGGAATCCTTCTTCTTGAAATCGTTAGTGGCAAAAATAATGCAGATTATAGTCGAAACCAAGAATCTGTTTTCCTTCTCGATACGGTATGAGCTAAGCATTAAATTCTATGAACTAAAATATTTAGGAACATGTGATACTCTTCGCAGATGTCTATAAAACTAATGGGGTCACACAAATATTGCAGGCTGGTAAATTACATGCGAGAGGCAAACTTGCAGAACTAGTCGATGCAAGAATGGTCCGATATAATTGGGATCAAGCCAACACCATCCTGAACTTAGCAATTATGTGCGTCGATCTATCGCCTTCTAACAGGCCTACAATGTCTCAAATTCTGAGTGTGTTTGAAGGTGAAAAAACTGTTGAGGAGATTTCTAAAGAGGTCAATACCTCAGCATGATTTTAAGGCCGTCTTGAGTGATCTCGCTGTCAAGGTAGCTTGTATGGTTTGCATTTTTTTTTTTTATGGAAATGCAGGCCATGGGAGTCTCATTTCTGTGATAATGCACACTGTTTTCATGGTGTTATTGTATTATGTCTCTCGTTGGTTGCATTGCTGGTTTGTTAAGTAAATTATCTGTGAGTGTTTTGTGTTAGTTTCATGTTTGTAACGAAAAAACTCAAGTTTTGATCCTACATTTTCCTCTCTATCAATAGTTTAAACAACATTTTAATCATTTTATTTTTATTCTCTGATAATATTTCATCCTTCAATTATTATACAAAAACATGCTTTAAAAACAAAAATTTACATCCTTAACCATTATTCTTGAAGTAAACAATTTGCTAAGGAAGTTATCATTTTTCTGCTTTTTTTTCCCCCTAGCCATCTATACATACAGATATTACTTTGACACTACTTTATAAGATTCTTTCTTCTCTTTTCAATTCTTATGCTATGTAAGTACTTGATTCGTTACTTCATTTTTATGTAAAGTTAGTGCCTGCAGCTTTACATCCACTTTAATCACGACTTGAGAAGTAAATTATGAATTCGTCTCTTTGGATTTGACAAACAAATTAATTACTTTTCTCTGTTTTGAAAACCTAATTAATTGATTTTTTTTGTTTATTTTATGTTTTTTTCTGAAGATCAATGAAAAAAGAAAATATTTTTTGAAATAAAATAATATTATATTAAACATGATGAACACTAACTAATGAACTAAATAATTATTTTTTTAAAACAAAAAGAACTATTCAATTCATTTTTTAAAATTAGAAAAATAACTAATTTATAATATAAGCTTGGACTTCTCTTGAGTTAACACTAACATGCATTGTGTATGAAGTTGGTGAAATCCAAACCTTTAGGCTGAATTTAAATGATTACAATTTAATTGTTAGTGAGTTTTTAAAATTGGTGGTTATTAAAAAAAAAAAAGTACAAATTATTAATTTCGAAACTAATGGTTTGGATTTCACAAATATAATACATCATAAGCCAAATATATATATGTTCGTTTGGTATTGTTGAGATTCTGAAGCGTAATTATTTTAATATCTAAACATAATGTTTGGTTAATGTGTACTTTAATTTGAATATAAACATATGATATTTAAAAAAAAAATACTTATATATATAATATTTTATTAAGAGATCCACTATTTTCTTAAGTAAAAATATAATTTTTTAAAAGCATAACATCCATTATTTATTTTTTTTTATAGGATTTTGTATTCTTGCAATTGATTCAAATATATAAAATGCTTTTAAAATTGTTAGGGTTAGAAAACCATTTTTTAAACTTTTCTAATTTAATTTAATTTTTACTTTTTTAAAGATAGGTTCAAAAAATAAAAGCTCTTTTTACATAGAACAAAAAGAAAGTTTAGTGATAAATTTAATGAAATTTTTTTATTTATAGGTAAACGAGTGAAAAAAATCTCACTTGAAAAATAGAGGACAAGCATTTTTATCCTTTTTTTTAATTAACATTAAAAAAATATAGTTACAAATAATGGAGAAAATACAATTTGGATAAGATTTCCTCAAAAACCAATATTGTATGATTCAAATTATGTAAATTTATAATAAAAGCCTAAAATTGCCAAATTGTAATAGAAGAGGGGGAGGGGGGGGAAGTGGTGGCAATTTTTTGCCATTAAACCGACTAAAATATAATCCTAGTAGTCCATTCTTTTTGTAATCTAGTTTTCGATATTGAGAAACTTGTGTTATTTTTTTTTTTAAAATTTGACATTGTATTTCATTTTTTATATACTTTAAAATATGGGTAAATGATATCAAAATCTTTATTATTCTCCATCCATAGAAAACACTATCATACACTACAAAAAAATAACAAGATAGCGACGAAAAAATCCATTGCTATCACGGTGAAATTCCGTCACTAAAACAACTTAGCTGATCGATTTGCTATCAAAAAAATTTGTCACTAAAACTCTCGTTGCTAACCTTCGTGATGGAATGTATAGTATCCATCGGTAACTTAGTGCTAATTTGTTTAATTCTGTCATTAAGTGGATGCCAAAACCACCATCTTTCCACCATATAATACATCACAATTCCATCACAAACTCATCTTAAATTCGTCACTAAGTAATGACTGAAAATCCATTGCTATTGTTCTTTACTAAAGTGGGTTGCTATTCCATTGCTAGTCCATTGCTAACTAACGACTCGTACCTTTTTGTCACTAATTTTTAGTAGAAATTGTTTTTTATATCTTCATTTCGATTGTTAATTCATTATTAATATTTTTAAATTTTTTTTATTTTTCTAAATTTTAAAAATTTTGGTATTCTCAATAGTAACTAATAATTAAAACAAACAACTTACTATAAAAATTAATTATTTTCTATTAAAATTAAAATTAAAATATTATAAATTAAATTGAAATTCACATTAAAATATTTATTCGTTAGTACGTAAGAAAAAGAATAAAAACATAAAAGAAAATGCAAAACTCACTCCTCCTCCTCCTCATCATCTAATCCCCTCTCATCTCTTTATGACATGATGGGAGGGATGGTGGAGTCCTTGCTAGTGGAGGGGTCGGTAGGCAAGCGAGACATATGCACCGACCTATGTAACGTCACCGTAATTGACTTAATCCGAGTCTCTATCTCCTGGATCTTTATCTCGTTGTTATGTGATAATTTTATTTTGCTCATTTAACCTCTCTTGTATTTTCATCATCGTCTCTTTATACTGGCTATGAATCTTATCGGCATTGTTGCTAGGGAACAACGATGATACAAAGTATCGTTATATGACATCGGACGAGACTCTCAAAATGCTTTAGAAAATCTAGATTTTTAGAGATTCCCATCTCATTTGTGTTTTTCTTGGGGATGCAAGTAATTATTGTGTTAAGAGTCGCCACCTAGTATTGAAGAAAATAAGAACCTAAAATAACACCGACGTAGAGACTCTAGGGAAAAAAGTTAGTTACATTTTAGGAAGATATTAGTCACCCAAAAACGCTCTTTCTTAAGAAAGGTACCACGAAAAATTTAGTCCTAAATTCCTCTCCTAATGTCTTTTATTTATGTCAAGTTATTTAAAAAAACTCCAAGCTATTTATGTCAAGTTATTTTTTTGATTTAAATAAAAAATAACCCAACACAAATAAAAGACGTTAGGAGATGAATTTAGGACAAAACTGGACGTGATACCTTTATTAAGAAAGAGCTTTTTGGGTGACCAATGTCTACACTCGGTGCTATTTTAAGTTTCTAGTTCCTTTAGTATTAGGTGGAGACTCTAAACACAATAATTACTTACATCCTTATAACAAACCATAAACGAGATGTGAATCTCTAAAAACCTAGATTTTCTAGAATTTTTGGAAGTCCCATCTAATGTTGTGTAGTGATAGAATGGTGACTCCATTGGAGACTAGAGTTAGGCCATAGGTTTAGTCTATTTAATTTATCTCTTATATTTACTTTTTATCAATTAATTTTTAAGTTATTATTTTTTTCTTTAATTTTAAGTTATTTATTTATTGTACATTTTTTATTTTTGTAATTTAATTTTTGTAATTTATTTTATTATTGTATGATTACTTTTGAACTAGGTTATATGCTTTTCTTTGAACTCGTTGCACACACCATGAAGGAAACCTATAAAAACTCTAGACTTGAGCTAAACCTTGATATGATTAGATAAAGGGATCTAGAGGCACGTATGACCAAAGTCTACCGATGCCTTCTAGACTCTTGTTTGACTCGTTACTCTCCTTATGCATAGAAAATAGTTGAATAACCTTCCCCTAACTTCTTGTGCATAAGGTTAGAGGCTGAATTATCCTATTGCTAATTTAGGCAGTTTAAAAACTTAAAAAATCTTTAAGACTAGATAAGCTTTGCCTAACTATAAAAAAGCTAGATCCTATCCACTAAGGTTGACTCGATTAAGAAACAAATCATTTTTAAATGATGTTGGTACTAACTCTTAGTTTTACAAGTTATCCTTTGCACTAAATCATGACAGAAGAAATTAGAAAGAAAGCCGAGCATTTTAGGATCATCTTTAAGCGAGCTTAAAATGATGAAAGAGATTTTCTCGCCTCTAAATTTTATGCCGAGATTCTAAAAAAGCTAAACTCGGATGATAAGATAGTCAACATGAGGCCATAATTGTTAGGAAATTCTCACTCCAACCAACAAATTCTCCTTCCTAAAGACCTATGGTGACATAACTTATTTAATAAAGATGAAGACTTAGATTGCATATTTTCAAGCCATGATAGGGTAATACGACCCTAATTATCGTTACTTTACCTTCAAAAGTGTGAACTTGTCACGTACACTCGGAAGAATATGAGGCTATGTTAGCATTTTCTAAAACCAAAGCTATCTACTTCTATAGTCCGTCTAATCAAGCTTTGTCAAATTTTACTTGGTTAACCAAAATTGACCCCACGATAGTCCAAAAGCAATTAGTCGAAAGTGGTCAATCTCAAGGTTGGTTTTAGAGCGTTCTTCAAGTAGAATTCATGAAGCACTTACAAGATCCCGATAATCAAGTAAGGCTTTAAATCTTGGTGCTAGCAATATATGGGCTAGTTTTGTTACCATCAACCGAGGGCATTATCGACTCGAGGCGGCCAACATGTTTAAAAGTGTGGTATCTTTTAAAGTCAAATCCACTATACCAATTCTAGCGAAATCCTCTCTTCATTGAACTTTTATCGAAGGAAAGGAAGTGGGCATTTGAGATGTTGTATCTAATTATTATTTGTATGGGCTTTGAGCCATGTAGAGATTAGAGAAGCCTTTGGTATTTTCCATACCTTATGGCATTTGTACTCTAAGTTGAAGAATTTTGCTTGTCACACCATCAACAAGTTAGATAAGACCATATGGACTAAGTTATTCTTCGGTTTAGAAAAATTTAAATTTTATTGGAGAGAAAATATGTATTTTATC